CCAAGCGCCCATCTCGCCTCACCACCTGGCTTGTGGAAGGGAACAGGCCAGGCCAGCATCACCCTGTCCCCCCGTGTCCCCAACCCCATACCTTCAATGCCGCTGATGATTTTGAAGCAGCGGGTGGTGAACCAATAGGAGATGAGGAGGAGGATGGCAATCAGGGAGGCATAGAGTGTGCAGGGATGTCCTCCCCATGGCTCCATCCCCTGTGCCCGCTCGCGCCCCCCGCCCAGCCCCGCCACGCTATCTGGGACAGCCCTGTCCCCGCAGTCCCCCGCCACACCGGGCAGGGAGGCGGGGGGCTGCATGGGCAGGCACGCAGGTAATTGGGAGCGGCGTGTGAGAGCCAGGCTCCCAAACCAATTACCTTAATTGTGCTCAAGCAGCACATGGCAAACAGTTAAAAATAACCCTCCCAGCCCAGGGGGAGAGAGTGGCACTGTCAGCCAGGAGAAGGAAGCAGGGGGCAGAGCACAGATGGGGCTCGCTACACGTGTGGCTGAGTCTCCGTGCTGCTGGGCCAGCAAGGCATTGCCGCAGCCCGAGGGCTGCTCTGAGCTCACCGGTGACCCCTGGACCCTCAGGGCTCAGCCCCTCGCTGCCACCCCACAGGAGGAGCTGGGAGTCCTGGAAACTGGGCTCCCCAGGGAACGATGCTGCAGCCCAGGATTGGCAGATGCCAGGATCTCCGCTGGGATGCCTGCGCCCGTCCTTGCTCCAGACACCGGGCCTCGGAGGAAGGCATCTCCACAGCCCTGCCGGCCCAGAGAGCTGGGTCTGGCAGAGAGGCGCTGGCATCTTGTCCCCTGCACCCCACCACAGCACCTCCCTCCCCGGGGAAGCCCAGGATCAGCCTCTCCTTTTCTCAGCTTGGAGCCAGAGCCAGCCTGGTTGCTGCTCTGCAAAACCAGGGGCACTCAGGCAGTGCCACTGTGAATTTGGGGGCAGTCACTGGCAGACCCCAAACCCGACGGGATTAGCTGCATCCATGCCTGAGACACCCCTGGTCCCTGGACCAAGCTTGGGCCCACTGGCCACCCCATGGGGCACCTGGCTGGGGAAGATGCTGGACCCAAGTGTCTCACCCCGACACCTCTTGCATATAAGACGTCCCATCCCCACCCCTGCAGCTACAGCCAGGAGACGTGACCACCCAGGCATGGGGTGAGGAGCACAGTGTCACCCCAGCTGTGCCCCTTTCAGGGTGCAGAATCCAGGTGTCTGGGTCTGTCCCCCCTTCCCTTCTCTCTCCCCCAAGACCAGCTGAGCATCCACTGGTGACACAGGACAGGGTGGTGAAGCAGCCCTGGCACGCGCCCAGAGCTCTGCTGGGTCGGGCAGCAGGCCCTGGAACGCTGCCTCAGGCACAGCTGGGGCAGGACGGGCAGCCCAGGCTGGTACCGAGTCCATGCCACCTGTCCCTCTCTGGGATGTGACAATAACAGCTGTGAAGCGTCCCCC